TGCTGCATACTCCAGTATGGGCATGACGTAAATGGTATACAGAGTCTTAAACGAATCCTTACTGAGGTATCGGAACGCTATCCGTAGGTTTGCCAGGCGCCCGTATGCTGCAGCAGTTATCTGATTGATGTGCGCATCAGGAGATATCCTCGGTGTTATACTCACCCCCAGATCTTTTTCCTTGAGTGAGGTTTGTAGTTTTTGGCCATCTAAACTATATTGTGTCTGCGGTCTTCTTTGCTCTTCCCCAATCTTCATGACTTTGCATTTGGCAGGGTTAAAATCAAGGAGCCAGTTGCTGGACCAGGCTTGTAGCCTGTCCAGGTCTCTTTGTAGTCCTGCCTGATCCTCATCCGATTTGATTCTTCTCATTAACTTCGCATCATCTGCAAACAAGGACACTTCTGAGCCTATCCCTTCCGTTATGTCGTTCACATATACCAAGAACAGCACAGGTCCTAGGACTGACCCCTGTGGAACCCCGCTTGTCACAGGCGCCCACTCTGACACCTCGTCGCGTACCATGACTCGTTGCCTCCCTGTCAGGTATTCTCTGATCCATTATGTGTGCCTGATCCTCTAGCTTTTGCAGTAACCTCTTGTGAGGAACTGTGTCGAAGGCCTTCTTGCAGTCCAAAAATATGCAGTCGATCCACCCCTCTCTCTCTTGTCTTACTTCTGTCACCTTGTCATAAAACTCTAGTAGGTTTGTGACACAGGATTTTCCTTCCCTGAAACCGTGCTGGTTGTCAATTATACACTTATTTCTTTCCAGGTGCCCCACCACCCTCCTCCTGATGATCTTCTCCATGACCTTGCATACTATACACGTTAGTGATACAGGTCTATAGTTTAGTGCCTCATGTCTGTCTCCCTTTTTAAAAATTGGGACTACATTTGCCATTTTCCATACCTCAGGAGTTGCCCAGTTTCAAATGATGTGTTGAAATCTTTGTTAATGGCTCACACAATATTTCTGCTCCCTCTTTAAGGACCCATGGAGAGATGTTGTCTGGTCCCACCCCCTTTGAGTGTCAAGTTCGCATAGCAGCTTCTTACCTCCTCCTTGGTTATATGTACCTCTCAGCACTTGCTGGTGTGCCCCCTGTTCTGATTTCCTGGGTCCTACTGGTTCCACTGTAAATACCTCTTTAAATCTTGTGTTGAGCTCCTGACATACCTCCTGGTCGTTTCTTGTGAATTCCCCATCACTTTCCTCAGTTGATGTGTGTGTGTGTGTGTGTGTGTGTGTGTGTGTGTGTGTGTGTGTGTGTGTGTGTGTGTGTGTGTGTGTGTGTGTGTGTGTGTGTGTGTGTGTGTGTGTGTGTGTTAGACTGGCATGATAAAAGTACACTAGGATCATCTGCAGTAACTACACGTAACGAGAGTAATGTTATCATCAGACTAATGTGATCTTTTATGAGGTACACACAGCTTTATTCCCGTCATCAACGTTCCTTATTAAACATTATCTTACTGCGACACTACCATCACCACCACCACCACCATCACCACCACTACCACCACCAGCAGCACCACTACCATCACGACACCAGCACCACCACCATCACCACCAAAACCACCACCATCACCACCAGCACCACTACCACCACCACCACCACCACCACCACCACCAGACCCACCAGCACCACCAGTACCACCACCAGCAGCACCACCGCTAGTCCTACCTTGTATTAACTGACATCAAGTGAATAATAACAACAATAATAATTATAATAATAATAATAATAATAATAATAATAATAATAATAATTACATTATTATTATTATTATTATTATTATGTAAGGGAAACGCTAAACGTGCGGGTGTCATAGAGCGTCTGGGGAAAATGGGAGGTAATCAAGTTTAAGCTGAGACAAAGAAAGATTAACTCTATTTTCTTGGATCAAGAGCCCCTTGATGGCATTGACCCTTCCCTTGTGTCATTCTTGTTTATTATTTATATATATCTTCCCTTCTGTCTTCACCTGCTTCTCCTTTTTCACTCTTCGTCATCCACAACATTCCAGCCACTGTCAGAAACCTTTGTTTGTAACCAAATATTTCTTGACAACCTGACACACATACACGCACAACACACACACACACACACACCACAACACACACACACACAACACATACACGCACACACACACCACATACACGACACACACACCACACCATACAGCCACACACACACCCACACCCCACCCAACACCAAAACACAACACACCCCCCAACACACACACACACACACGCCACCCCACACAACCCCACAACACACACACATACAGCACACACACAACCCCACCACATACCGCACACCACACACACACACACCACGACACACAAACACACACACAAAACACCCGCACACAAACACACACACACAACACAGCACACACACACACACACACCACACCCACCCCAAAAAACACACCACGCGCCAACACACACACCACCCCACCACACAACACACACAAACACACACAACCCCCA